TATGCATGGGTTACAAATAATGATTAATACAGGAAAAAAATCATGTAATATCATCTTATACTAGCGAGACCCTGTGTGCTCACTAAGGACACAGTTCAAGGATTGCCACTAAAACCACATCTCTTCATATGCAAAGAAGAACACACGTTTAAGCCAGGCCCGAGCAATCAAGACTCTGTGAGTGAAGGTAAGAGACAGCAAACCAACCAATAATGCAGCAACAAAGCTGCTCATTTCTACAGGCCTGAGATCTGAAATTCAAAGCCAGTGAACCTTCATCCCCCCCCCAACACTCTAAGGTGGGACAGAACCCCGCCGTGTGCTGGGCTGCACCCCCAGAGCGTGAGCAGCAGCTCAGGGAGGGGATCCTGCCCCTCTGCTGCGTGAAGGGGAGACCCCCCCTGCAGCCCTGATCCAGCTCTGGGGCAGCAGCACAAGAGGGACGTGGAGCTGCTGGAGCGAGGCCAGAGGAGGCCATGGAGCTGCTGCGAGGGCTGGAGCAGCTCTGCTCTGGAGCCAGGCTGAGAGAGCTGGGCTGGGGCAGCCTGGAGAAGAGAAGGCTCCTGAAGGGGAGACCTGAGAGCAGCTCCAGTGCCTGAAGGGGCTGCAGGAAAGCTGGAGAGGGGCTTGGGACAAGGGCCTGTAGGGCCAGGCCAAGGGGGAATGGCTTTAACCTGCCCCAGGGGTGACTGAGCTGAGCTCTTAGGCAGAAGCTCTTCCCTGTGAGGGTGCTGAGGCGCTGGCACAGGGTGCCCAGAGAAGCTGTGGCTGCCCCATCCCTGGCAGTGTTCAAGGCCAGGTTGGACACAGGGGCTTGGAGCAAGCTGCTCCAGTGGAAGGGGTCCCTGCCCGTGGCAGGGGTTGGAGCTGGAGGAGCTTCAAGGTCCCTTCCAACACAAACCATTCCATGATTCTATGCCTATGCTCTAGCTGACCTATGCGCCACATGCATATGTTTAAAGCCATAAGAACTGTTGCAGAGGTGCAGCTTGCCCATGCTGTGTGCTTGCTTCTCACCCACAAAAACCCCTCACAACCTTCAGCGAGTCCCTGATATTCACACACTGTAACAAGATATTTTCACCATGAATCTCAAATCCCCTGCTGTGAAAACCAATCCAAGAGATCATCTCATTCTCCTACTAAAGCCTCATCTTCCTCAGGTACTCCACACACATCCATAGCCTCACAGCCGCAGGGTTTGTGGGGCCAGCTACCTACTGAATCATCTCCCAGTGCCTAATGCTTTGGAGAGCAGAGTCATTCACTCCCATTTTTAGCAACTGTTTTGTGCTTCACCTTTGACAACAGTCTGGAATGACAGTGATTTTTGTTGTTGATGTTATGAGACAGAAGTCACTAACACCCCCTTATAAAAGCCAGCACGTTTTGTATGTTCATTAGAGTCAAAGGGCTGAAATCATAACTGGAAATTTAAGGTCTTACCCAACGTTATCCAAGTGGAAAAGCTGCTCTGTGAACGCCGGGAGGGATTCCATTTTTACAAGTAGAAACTATGGGGATTGAAGCAATTTGTGCTCCCATACAGATGGAAGTGATTATGAACTCTCGGAATTAACACACATTGTTCAGGCTTCGGAATGTAACAGCAAAGCAAGTTTCTCTACAGAAATGCTCTACCAAGCTAGCACTGAGCTGCTTTTGATTCCAGCTGGATTCTCCCGAGTGCGAGATGTGGTTTACATTGTTGTTATCCTGCTGGTTTACAAAACAGCACCAGTGTATCCCTAGAAGAGCTTTTACTTTATAAAAAGCCAGTCTCACTTCTTCCTCACTCATTTTAATCCTTGCAGCCAGAATTCCAGGTAATCGGAAAGGAAAACAGAAATATAGGGATCCGGGAAAGCAGGGAAGACTTTATGAATCCTTTCAAGTATTTAAGGTTTTCTGGGCTCTTTGTGTCTCACCCACAACCATCAAGACTTGATGAATGAGTTGAAGGAGGCGATGGAGACCCAAGCTCTTCTCAATGCTCCAGTAGGGCCAGCACTGGTCCTCCTATGCCCCTCCAACCTTCCCACAGCACCCAGAGGGAACTGAGCAACTAATCCACATGATTCTCAACAAAGTAAGTTGTAGGACCCATGCTATGAATTAAGGCCAACACCTTGGGGCCTTAAAAGTATTCCCTCACAGGTTGTAATGGTCTAGAAGTAAGAAAGAGGCTGCTGCTCATTCTCCATCCAAATTTAGTTTCACACATTCATATGAACTAAGCATATAGAATCACAGGATCACAGAATGGTTTGTGTTGGAAGGGACCTTAAAGCTCATCCAGCTCCAACCCCTGCCACGGGCAAGGACCCCTTCCACTGGAGCAGCTTGCTCCAAGCCCCTGTGTCCAACCTGGCCTTGAACACTGCCAGGGATGGAGCAGATCTAGAAGCTTCTCTCAAAGCACCCTGAAGATCTTCTAAAAGCCACTCCAATCAAGCTCCAGCCTCCAAAGGAACACACAAAGGGTTCAGTCTCAGGTTTTTAGCTCAAGTCACCCTGAAGTATAGAAGTTTGTGGGGTATTTCTTGATGTTATTTACCTGTTCTGCTCTCACAATGGAATTTCCCCTTGGCAGAACTATAAAAAGCTGCACTATTTACCCACAGATATCAAAACAAAGGTGACTACAACAGTTTATGTGGACTTCAGCAACGCTTTCCTGATTAAATAACATCATAGAACCCCCCCTAAAATCTTGATTTACTTTTATGATGTTTTTCTATTCAACAGCATAAAATCTCAAGCATTAACATGTGAACCACTGGTGTTGTACAAACCACTTCAAAGCCCGGCCAAGGACCACTCCAGCTTCTACCAGCACCAGTGACCCCATGTAAATTTGGAAACTTTTAATACAAAGACATACTTAAAAGTCTTAATTTACTTTTTATGAGTTTAAAGGCATGCCAGGGAAGTCAGAAACCAACTGGAAGGACTTGGAAAGCACCATGGGTGAGTGAGCACGTGTTCAACTGCTCGGAGTCCTGTAGGAACAGGACAAACTGAAACAGGGGAAGTTCAAGTTGGATTATAAGGAAGAAGTTCTTTATTGTGAGGGTGCTGAGGCGCTGGCACAGCGTGCCCAGAGAAGCTGTGGCTGCCCCATCCCTGGCAGTGTTCAAGGCCAGGTTGGACACAGGGGCTTGGAGCAAGCTGCTCTAGTGGAAGGGGTCCCTGCCCTTGGCAGGGGTTGGAACTGGATGAGCATTGAGGTCCCTTCCAACCCAAATCTATGATTCTAAGAGTTCATCATCTCAGTCAAGAAAGAAGCACAGAGCACTTGCATCACACAATGGTACAGCAAGCTCCAGAATAGCAACCCAACCATGAAAGGCTGAAAAGCAAAGGGAGCAGGATCACGACTCAAGTGGCAGAATGAACTAATGTATTTACTTAAGCAGAGATTGAGGAAAGCATTGATTTGATAGTAATGGAGAGAGAAAGCTATCAAAGCCTTTGAAGGAAAGAGTATTTAATCCCTGTTTCTCACTAGTCTTCAAGTGTGAACAGCTGTCTGCCATTATTAATACCAGGAACAAAGAGGCTCAGTTTAAGTTATATTAACAGCCTGGTTAAGTGAATTTCCAAGATTAGCAGGACTTGATTAACTTCATCTTATAGTATTTTAGCCTTTAAGTCATTTCAGAGCCATTGGAGGTTATCTTCCAAAATACACTAAGCATGGGCATGATACCAGAAGTCTGGAAAATGGCAAATGCAATCCAAGCTTCAAAAACAAACACCACAAAGAGACCCAGAAGCTTGATTTCAATTCTGGGTAGGGAATAGTCGGGGAAAAAAGACTGGTGGAAAAGAGGAGTGGAAAGCCAACTAGAAACTAAGCACAAAAACGATATTTCATGAATAAAACTGTCAGAGCAATCTTATTTCGAGCCTTACAAACAGGTTAGAGGCTGAAATGTCAGTATTTCTGTTGGAATATAAATACATCTCTTGGCACTTCGCGGTGTAACATGCTTGCAAGCAAGCTGGGGAAATGGGATATTGATGAAGTATGAATGAATCCAGAGCTAGCAAGTACTCTTTGGGTGTAGCTGAACAATGGCTCACTGCTGTAAATGGAAGTGCTGAAGAAGCTGGGCTCCAGCTGGGTTTAGGCTTTCCACCAGTTCCATTCAGCACTTTTGGGTGAGCTGGATAGAGAACAGGCTCAGATGCAGAAAGCTCAGTTTCGCTGGGCACCCTGTGCCAGCGCCTCAGCACCCTCACAGGGAAGAGCTTCTGCCTAAGAGCTCAGCTCAGTCTCCCCTCGGGCAGGTTAAAGCCATTCCCCTTGGCCTGGCCCTACAGGCCCTTGTCCCAAGCCCCTCTCCAGCTTTCCTGCAGCCCCTTCAGGCACTGGAGCTGCTCTCAGGTCTCCCTTTCAGGAGCTTTCCCTTCTCCAGGCTGACCCAGCCCAGCTCTCAATTACAAGTTTGTAAACTCTCAGGCATTTGCCAAAGTAAAGGATGATTTCCAAAGCACATGAAGAGCAAAGAAGGAAGAAGGATTAGAGGACTTCTTACGTTCTTTTACTGTAAAATCACACATTTGCAAGGCTTAAGAAACACAAGCTGGAAAGTCTGACCCTAAGTACAGGGGTAGAATACTAGTTATATTGGTAACAGAGCAAACTAAAGACACAGCAATGAGAGTGACACGCACGGATCCTCAAACATGACAGAATACAAGTAACAGAGAACATTGACAACTTTCAAACCAGTGCCTATGCACTCAGCACTTACTGTTTGCAAAGGAAAAGGTTCATCATCAGCTGGTGAGCCCTTCTCTAAGCACCACAGAACAAAGTCTCAATCACAGAGGTGTAAGGTAAGTGAAGACAAGGGTTAGAAGAACATCTCCACTCAGTCACAGATGTTCACCACAGAGAAGAGCATCAGAAGCCAGTGGATGCACATTCATGACAAACTAATGCTAAGCACACAGTAGGTAAGAGAACAAGGAAAGCTCAGTGTACCCACCTGTGCTATGTTTTTGTTGAGAAGATACACTCCGTATTCAAACTGAAGCTTCTCCCCTCCTTTTGGATATAAAGGAAACCTGATGGGAAAGAAAACAAGGAAAACAAAAGCATTTAAGGTGCAATAATTCAGATGCTTAAATATGTCAACGCCACAGACTCCTGTTCTCAGAAAGGGAAGATGTAAAAAGCCTGCCTCCCTGACTTCTCCTGGGAATCCCCTTCATGGAATGCACTTGGGAATCCTCAGCAGCTCCAGTCACTCAGCCTTTTAAAGGCTGATGTCAAAACTGATCTAATGCACTATGTTTTCTAAAGTATTCTAGGTTAAGAGACGCTTTATGACTCTCCCAGTGGTGCAACATTCCTCTCATGAAGTGAAGCACAGAACGGTTTGGCTTGGAAAGGACCTTAAGCTCATCCAGTTCCAACCCCCTGCCATGGGCAGGGACACCTCCCACTAAACCATGTCACCCAAGGCTCTGTCCTACCTGGCCTTGAACACTGCCAGGGATGGAGCATTCACAACTTCTCTGGCCACCCTGTGCCAGTGCTTCCCCACCCTCACAGTAAAGAACTTGCTTATATCACAGCATAAGACAAGACCCCACATTATTCCTTTGCAGTCAACTATTTCCATTTGCTTAGCTCATTTCCAAATAGGAACAATCTTTTAAAGAAAAGAGTTGTCTTTTGATTCCTATTTTGTGACTGAATGTGCACAAATCTCTTCATACACAGAAGACGATTGCAGGCTCATTTTACTATCACACTGGAACAAGGCTCAAAGAATGTAAAGGGATGCTTTGTCTTTCAACAAGCTTCACCCATGCACTAAAGGCTTGAGTCAGTTACAGCATCAGAGGTCACTACAGCCCTTGCACATATCATCACAGAATCCCAGCCTGGTTTTGTTTGGAAGGGAACTGAAAACTCACCCAGCTCCAACCCCTGCCACGGGCAGGGACCCCTTCCACTGGAGCAGCTTGCTCCAAGCCCCTGTGTCCAACCTGGCCTTGAACACTGCCAGGGATGGGGCAGCCACAGCTTCTCTGGGCACCCTGTGCCAGCGCCTCAGCACCCTCCCAGGGAAGAGCTTCTGCCTAAGAGCTCAGCTCAGTCTCCCCTTGGGCAGGTTAAAGCCATTCCCCTTGGCCTGGCCCTACAGGCCCTTGTCCCAAGCCCCTCTCCAGCTTTCCTGCAGCCCCTTTAGGCACTGGAGCTGCTCTCAGGTCTCCCCTTCAGGAGCCTTCTCTTCTCCAGGCTCACCCAGCCCAGCTCTCTCAGCCTGGCTCCAGAGCAGCTGCTCCAGCCCTCGCAGCACCTCCATGGCCTCCTCTGGTCTCACTTCAGTAGATCCAATGTTTACTTCTCCTATTTAATAACTAAGGCATTTTGCCCAATTTCAAACACCTGGATGCAGCACAGAACTTGCAAAAGCAGCATCACAGCTTATTCCTGTCTTTAGTGCTGCATGTACCAGAGCGACAAAACTTCATTCCCTAAACTACTGAAACTGAGAGTCTGCATTGAAGAATGTGATTTTATGTGTATATTTTAGGAATCTTTAAGTGAAGCAGTTCTCATGAACACCTTTAATACCCATACACTGCATTTCTTAGGATGGGCTTTTGACTCTTCCCTGCCACCAGAGGCTGCGAGGTCACCGTGGGCAATGCAGTCATCTTGGTACAACCTAAAATGTACCTTTATGGGAACCACCCCATGAAATGAGCTTTAGCCTTTACAAGCACCGTATGTTCTGTAGCTCCTAATCAAGATCCTGAGCACATTATCTGTGCACAACCCACATTACATCAGAAACCCAAGGCTCCCTTAAACAGAAGATAACAAATAGAGGAGATCAATATCTGCTAGAAACAACACACATCCTAAAGGGCTGCTTACACAAAGGGTATTTTATCATCAATCAGCCCCACAGTAGAGTACTTTTAAGGAGAATTATATAGAATCATTAAAGCTAAAGGTTAACAGGTCATGATCACAGCAGATCAAATATTAAGACATCAGCTTCGAGTTTAAGGCTATTTTCAAGCTCACTGGGTCACTTTGAGTTTGAGGGATATAAAAATCCCTGTGAATAGTCTATCTCTAGCTCACCTTGCTTAATAGAGCTATAAATCCAACTAGTTCCCCATGCAAGAGAAGAAAAGCTTTCCAAGTGAACACACACTACAAAAACGCCACGAGGCATTATCCTAAGTGTAAAACCCCAATCAAAAGGAATTCATTTCAATATCTACAGTTACACTAAGGAGAAAGAGCAGGGCTTAGATTTAAAGATACCTCCACAATTAAGAGTATAAAATGAACTCAAGCTTGACAATAAAAGCCCCATTAGGAACACAAGCCACGGTTCACTAGAAGATAGGATTTCATTGAGTCATTGGTAAAGGGAACCGTGTATTCTGTTGTTAGGCAGTGTCGAAAAAGAGGATAAAACCCTGGTTTACAGCTCTTGCCACCATCTCACACAGAATTTCTTTTAAGTGGTAAAGACTAAGCTTTGTATTTAACACATTGCTCCCCCCACCTTTGCTAATATTCCCATTCCTGCCCTCTAAGTCCCACTAATGACACTTGAAAGCCTCTCAACGACATCCACCCTCGTGTCAGCTTTCATAACATAACCATTTACATGAGAAACATCAGTGCATGTCTTTGTGCATGAGCATTTGTGACTCCAAGAACTACATTACCAGCTTCCACATCTCCTTCTTTGTGTGTTATCTTGCTTGCCTGGGCACAAGCAATAAAATCCAGGGATACAAACCCCAACATTACATATAGTGCTGCACTGAGTATAATTGAATGCAACTTTAACTGCTGGCTCCCTATGTGAAACTCTTGTCTGCTCCTTAGACAAGCATGGCTGTAAGCTGAATGTCTCAGGCATGCTGCTCTGTAGGGTTTTAGTTATGCTTGCTCAAAAAAAAAAAACATCTCAAAACTACTATTTTGGTATTTTTATCATCATAAAGCACCCAGTAAAATGGAAAATGGCATCTGCTTGTTCACTGTGCAACATGTACCTCCTTTGTTCCCATTCTTGCCATGTTTGGGGGAAGCAAAAATCATTCAGCTCTTTCGAAGCAGAATACTTCCTCCAAGAGATTCAAGTTCAAAGGAATAAGAGTGATGAGTTTAGAGGGAAGTAGAAAAACACCAAGATACAGATGTCTGTTGCATGGTCACCAGAAGAGATCCCAGACTGGTTTGGGTTGGAAGAGACCTTAAAGCTCGTCCAGTTCCAACCCCCTGCCACAGGCAGGGACACCTTCCATAGAGCAGCTTGCACCAAGCCCCTGTGTCCAACCTGGCCTTGAACACTGCCAGGGATGGGGCAGCCACAGCTTCTCTGGGCACCCTGGGCCAGCGCCTCAGCACCCTCACAGGGAAGAGCTTCTGCCTAAGAGCTCAGCTCAGTCTCATGTGAACCCTTCAGCTTAAACCACATCCAAGAAAAACCGGCATGGAAGTCAGAAGGGAGCACGTTATAAACACCCAGTCAAGAATCTCTCCTCTTCCATACTCAATACTAATGCTAAATCAGATTCAAGTCACTAAATCACCCAACAGCCAAACCAGATCCTATTCTTAGCACTGAAATCCTGTTGTTTACACAACTGGATGCCACTAACCATGAGTAGTACTAAGAATAAAGAAGGGGTTTTGACGTACAGAAGTCAACTGATTTTCAGTCTACTTACACATAAGGAGGTTGTCTGATAGGCAACGAGTAAGCAAACAAGTACAAGCAGGTCAAGGCTTGGAGTACTGCTGATCTATGTACCCAAATACACCTACTAGTAAGAAACTTGAAGGAGAGCGACAAATCAAAGCGTGTCCTCATGTATCAGAGTGCAGATTAGTGCAAGACTAAGAGAAAGAGGGCAAAAAAGGGGTGGAAAGGAAAGAAATCCCGGCTAAGAGAAGTGTCAACATTGGTGTTATTTTACACCATAGACTCCATGTGGAAGTTTCTAGGGTATTAAACCTCATTAAACCATCCCCAGGGAGCTGTGAAAAGGAAAAAGCAAGGCAAAGGTTGCAGTGCTGTGTTCACAGTTACTAAGAAGGGGAAAAGTAACCTCAAGTCAGCTTTTGAAATGGAAAACAGGGCTGAAAGCCTACCTGTGTTTCAAGTTGAGTCTACAGAACCAGCACCCTGCCATCAGCAATGGGATTAGATGTGGAGCTCTTCAAGGATCTTGCAACACTTCACAAATGCTGTTCTAAGACAGTCTGAGTATTTGCATGAGAAATAACATACTGATGGGCATCGAGCTACAAGCACCCAACTACACCATCAACAGGACTGTTACTTTGGAATCAGTCTTTAATGACATTTACTCCTAACATGGTATTCAGTCAAGTAGAACACATCTTAGACATAACACATACCTGCAAGAAACTGAAGAGCAAAGTGATCTTACTATAGGAAATCACATTTTGAGGTTATAAAGACTGTAGACAAGGTACTAAACTGTCAACTCTAGTTTAAAAACCTTCCTATAAAAGAAATACAATATATGCATTTCCAGTCCAGATGAAACTATTGGTGGCTCACTGCCATCATTTCCATCCCAGCTGAACCACAGAATCACAGAATGGTTTGGGTTGGAAAGGACCTTAAAATCACCCACTTTCAATGCCCTGCCATGGGCAGGGACACCTTCCACTAGAGCAGCTTGCTCCAAGCCCCTGTGTCCACCCTGGCCTTGAACACTGCCAGGGATGGGGCAGCCACAGCTTCTCTGGGCACTCAGTTCAAGATGTATTCCCGAATCTGCCCAAGCACATTTGTGGTCTGGGGCAGCACAGGATGAGCAGACAGGAGGCTTGATGAATGCCTTTGTTACCTGTACCTGTCTGGGAGCCTGACAACACTTCTGCTGGAAGTAGATCCTATAGCATCTCTGCAGCAACCCAATTCAAAAGCTGCAAAGTGTCCCATGAAACCACCAACCATCACTCCATGATGCTGAAACTACCTGTTCATCCAGATACAAGCAGGTCATCCTATAATCATAACAGCCACAGGCACAAAGACGGCAAA